CCACCATTCGACTCGGCTCGGCGCGGAGCATCTTCTGATATATTGCAAATGGGGGTGTGATGTCTTCGATATTCTAGTTTCGCAGAAAAGGAGCGCGTAGAATAAAATTCTCTTTTTGTAGAAATATACTTCGGAATTATTCGGGCAAGAAACACATAACTCATATTAAAATTGAGTTTTTTTGCTTTTTGGATTTCCTCGTTTTGAGAGGGTAAAGTTGTTCACACTCGTTCTCAGATCATGGTAAAACCAGTGTAAACCTACTAAATACCGTTTTAACACCCCACTGATGTGTTTTATTCCTTTCTCAGATCTTGCGATGAATCATAGAGCTGCGTAATTATACTATGATTATCGCACTCACGGGGAAAGGCACTTAACTTAAGCTTAACTTAAGTCGGCCTTCTGAAGTGATACATACGTTCGGAATCAGCTTGAAACGCTGAATTAAAATTCGTTGTCCATAGCTGTGAAGCTTTATTATGGACAGAGTTATGAGCTTTTTTCTGTGCAGATGTGCATGTTCATCGCCCTACTGATTATAGTAACAACATACAGATAGTAGTGCAATTGCACAATGCTCCCTATCAGCACTAAAGGACTAGCACTGATGTTATCTCGGAAATACGACTCACTCGTAGATCACAAAGGAAAAACGCTCTGCTCCGGCAAAAAATTGATGCGGTTTGATCGTTGATGTGTTAATGGAGTTTTCCTTCACGAAGTCATATTTATGTTTTCGGATCAGATCAAGTTGCGATTTTGCTCAAATTTGAAGTTGAAAAAGTAAGAAGAAGATAGATAGGGTTTGAATGGTTTGAAAAGTGGCAAATAGTATGCAAGTGCTGTCTTAGTCTAATTGATATAGATGAAATAGGAAACTATTGACGTAATACTATTATCACGAACAAGACGAGTCCTTCAACAGCTTTGAAAAGAGGGTTATAAGGATGAAAGAGCAAATTGAAGAAGGCAGAAATGTTAGCAATGAAATAAGGTGTATTGAGCTACATGACTGGTGCATGCAAGGAACGAATTGCAAAAAAAAACAAAAAAATAATAATTCTAGCTGAATGTGAGATAGGGGTGGGAGATTCTGTAGTAAAACGATAGTTACAAGCGCACCAGATTTCATGAAAATCTCTATATTGACTCAGTCATCAAATGTTATTCTAGAATCAATTAAACAAGCTGCTGATATAAAGTAAGTTCAAAAATACATGGAGTCCCAAACATTTTACATTTATTGTAGGTAACTCTCTTCTCTCCTTGTTTTCCAAATGTCGAAAAGTATTTTATGACATGTCTTCCATAAATGCAACATGGAGAACGAATCACAGATTTTTCATTACTGTAAAAATACGGTAGGAGCTCGAAGTTCATCGATCCTAGCAAATTAGCTGCTACAGGAAATTTTCGAAACACCAAAAAACCTTCGTGATGGGATTTTCGGATACGATGATTTCAAAAATAAGGTTGGTACAGCTCTGCCACGCTTTTAGGCCCGTATGCACGTACATCCCCGCTGGGGAGGGGAGGGGACATGAGAGGAGATGCGTCATATCTCGCTACTTTACGTATCTTTCTTCTTCCTTTTCTATCTTGCTTATAAAGGTTCTCATACGCTACTACCTGCGCATAATCGATGCCAGGTTACAGGCATAACTGATTAGATTTGTACTATTTTGTGTGATCCCCTGGGGATCCCCAGGGGATCACACAAAATAGTACAAATCTAATCAGTTATGCCAGTAACCGGGCATCAATTATGCGCAGGTAGTAGGGTATGAGAACCTTCATAAGCAAGATAGAAAAGGAAGAAGAAAGATACGTAAAGTAACAAGATATGGCGCATCCCCTCTCAGATCCCCGGGGAACGTCCGGAAGGCGACAAATGACCTAGAACAGGCGCAGCTAGTGGCCACGTCCTGTCCGAGTTCCCCGTTGTTAGGATGCTCTGGATATTTGGATTGGGGCGCCTTTATACACATTGCGCATGGCTCTCTCAATTTCTGACTTCGTCGTTTGTTCTCTGGTTTTTGGACGTTTTTGTTCGTGTATGTATATTATTGCTCATTGTGGTAATGTGATGATTTGCTTTCTTTTGTTTCGCCTATCTGTGAGCATATGCTCTTCTGCCTTTTCTAAAAAGTTTTGTTTCAGGCTGCAGCAATATGCATGGTGCAATAAAAGATCATCCTAGTAAGGAGGTTAGTAGATATCTGCGTTCTTGAGTGATGTGATAGTTTTGTATTTTTCCATGGGTTAGGTATTTAGTTAACTATACCATTTATACGTTAATTAGTTTTTGTGCAGACCTCGTCCAAGTTGATGATGTCGAGCTGATAGAATGTGAGTAGAACTCCACTCAACAACGGTACTATAAGCCAGTTATATCAAGTAAAGGTGAGCTATTATTTTTTTGCATCTTCTTTACAATACGACTTTTCTTCAGGCTGGACATAGAAGAAGATTTTGAGCACTTTGAGCAAGGTCGCATTCTGCGGTGGGATCTCGATGTTGAGACTGTTCGAGCACTTCAAATTTTTTATTTCAGCTGTCGCTTGCAATACACTGTAATGTGATAGTGATATAATAATCACTCTTTTTTCTGATTGTTAGCATCGCTGCCTTTTTTTCATTGAGAATAAAGATTTATCGTTCAAACTGTAAAACAGAAGAGCGCAGAAAAGCCGAGGAAAGGTCATAGAATTGATTATGGACAGAATGCGAGTATGCTAGCGGGTTGAGTAATTGGACAATTCTGGATTTCCGGCAAAAAGAGTTTGTATCTCTTCCACCGAAAGGGAGCTGATTTGCAACAGTATGATAGTTTTGATTTATCTTGTCTCTTTGAACAATACCACACTGCCTTTGCATGCCTTGATTACCGTTCATGACAAGCTCAGTCGTTGCGGTGCATGATCTATGAATCTGAATGTGACAAATCGACTTCCGTGAAACAAAGGAATGAAGATCGCGGAAAAACTGCACTTCTAGGTTAAAAGAACGCGCTTTCGAAGAAATTGATCTGCTCATAACCCGTCTTTTGGGCGCGAATTGCGATTATGTTCTCTCATTTGTTCCAAAGCTATAATGACTTGTCTCGTAGGTCTGTAATGCTTGATCTTTTCAACCTTGAATTGAGGAAACCAAAAGCTGCACTACCAAACTCATGGACAAGTATCAACAAGGGAATAAATTTCAAGTGACACATTTACTCCGTACGCTGCTTAGCCCATATTTGACCGACCACTAGTTTGACCGAAGGCAACAAGTAAAACAATGGAAACTTCAAAAAATGCTGTTACCATTCGTGCGCCAGCGCGTGTGCCGAAAAAGCGTCAGTCCCTGGCCTGATTGACCTGACGCTCAGTGTCGCAGGCGCCCATGAGGGGCGTGGCCTCCATGCGCTCGCTCCAACTGGGTTTTGTCGCCTTCCGGGCTACACCCCAGATCCCCTCCCCTCCCCAGCGGGGATGTACGTGCATACGGGCCTTAGAGTGGTCTTTATGATTTTGAGGAAAGCATACATGATCTCACTTTCAAACGAGATTACGGTATAGGAGAACACATAATTATAACCAGTAAGTCTGACTAACCGTTTTAATTACACAACTTCATTTTTTATGACCTCTTGCGAAATGATTCAATTATCTCATTGCTCCTTAAAAGAAATCAGTGTCTTCTATAATAAAAATCTAAACAGAACCCAGCGGTACAGTTTCAGATGGTAGTAGGGACGCAAGAAAAATAGCATGAACGATCTAGGTACATTTATAAAATTAGTTTTATTTTTGTAGACACTAGAGGCCGGCTAAGAAGGAAAAAAATACAGTTGCGAAGCAGATAGATCAAGGCAAGAAGGTTCCTAAGTCTCCAACATGTTCGGTTACTCCTTAGAATCAAATTGGGAATAAACACATAGATAATAGATCAAGTGCGGCGAATTTTATGGCTAAAAATGTAAGCCAATGGAAAAAAAATAGAAAAATCGATTCGTGGACGCTTGCAAAGCAACTTGGGAAAAGAGACATGCGGATCAATTCCATCTAGATGTGATCTGCTTTTTGACTTTTTTCGAAGTAGACATGCGTTGAAGATATGGATTAGCACCTTAAGATAACGAGCTCCGTAATAGCAACATTGTAAGAAGGTGCCAAAACATAGAGAAAGGAACTATTAACAAGTTCAATATGAGGTCCCAGAGAGCCAGACTAATTTCTAGCAAAGCCTAGACAGGTGGCTAGCATCATGGGATGTTAAAAATCAGAATGAGTCCTTTCTTTAAATGGTTCAAGATCGTAAATTCGTCACATATCAACGTAAAGTTCTAGCATATTTTCCTCTCAATTGATTCAGTGTACTTGCGGTGCCAAGGAGCGACAAAGTTTGCGCGTGAACAAATGGCTACGCTTGTAATAATGTCGGCCACTTGCACGCGCGAATTGCTGGCATTACTGGCGTGGCTATTTGTTTACGCGCAAATTTAGCCGGTCAATCTCGACACCGCAAACGCACTAAAACCTACCAGTAAATCAAGTTATTATGCTAGGCTTTTGAAAAGGCTATGACACGCTGTTACCTTCATACGCATTTTGTGTCATGACTTTGTTACTATAGAAAAGAATCACTAGAGAAAACCTCTAAACATCTTATTATGGAGTGTTTTGTTTGGAACTTTTGTGAACGTATTTAGTTTTGTTTTTTGATTAAATGCGATGAATTTTCAAATAATTTGAAAAGATCTTTCCACTATTTAACTGGAATTGAGCTTGTAGTGTTTATTTATGTACAATGTTATTATCTTAGCCTGAATCTAAAGACTGTTCTAACTGCGGTGTCGCTTTTGCGTGCAGCTACGGATACTCAGCGCTTGGGCCAAACGTGCCGAACTCATATCGATGAGGCCGATTTCTTAATAGCACGTCAACAATGGAATTCAATATGACATGATTGTTTGGAATTATTGAAAAAACAAAATATTCATCACATGCTCTACATGCATAGATCAACAATGAGCAAAAAACTCGAATAAATACACTTTTACAAACCCAGACGCTGATGGCATCATTATATGGTACAAAAGGATAGCAATTCAGTATACCTCAAGGTTCGAGGTATTGCCAACAACGCACGAAAAGTGAGAGAACAAGTGAACAAACCACGTAAATCTGAGGAGAAATCTTGACACAGTAAATAAAGCTTAGACTATAGTGAATTTTTGAAAGGTAGTTTAAGTAGGCTACTCAGCACAACAGGATATATCTATTCATCAGCAATACAATATGCATGTTCAATAAATTAGATCACACATTAAGATCTTGAAAATGCTCGCTTGCGCAACAGAACTTGACATTTTCAGCGCAAATACTAGCAAGCTTTCAATTTTGAGGAAGATGAATTTACAGGCAGAGAAGCTCCTTGTTGTGGATTCGAGAAAGAAGTTTCCAACTCTATCAGTTTTTGCTGCAATTCCTCTTCCTGTTGTCGTGCTCGACCAATATCGCTAAACATGTTCAAGGTTGAACAAGAAATGTGAATTTAACAAAAAGTAAACAAGATAGTCGAAATAATGAAATAATATCAAAGACTCGCCTGATGGTTTTGTCTATGGCTTCTTTCGTAGCTTCAATCGCCGCACGTAGCTTATGCGATTGCTTCAGCTGTTTCTGATACTGCTGCGGCCAGTTTGATTCCCTCATTGGAGCGAGGATATTTCTCAGATTTTCCTAAAGATAGCAAAATTCTACCAAGTTGGGCTCAAGAAGGTTGGCAGAACTTGGAATGCCTGTGAAGAAAACGAGATATGTATATAGGCTGTGCCAAAGTTCTGTCTGATTTTTGATTGCCTAACGCAGCTATTTTCTGGGAGTTTTGCGCTTATTGCAATTTAGTGGACAGCTTTTAGTAGATTTTTCTTACGCATTCCAATGCTGACGGAATTTTTACAAAATATCCCTCACTTATGCAATTCCAAACCCCAAAGCACAAGCTGCCAAATCGCAGTAATACTCAAAAAATGTGCTATGAAGGAATCCACAATGTTCAAAAAATGTTCGTACGAAATTTCGTAGTGGGTGAGAGTGTAATTGACCGCATCCTTTTACTCCGACATAGAATTTTACTTTCCAAACTTGTATTCAAAAACTGTAGAGTATCTTAGCTACACTACAAGCGGCAACACTCTAGGCGCAACGACAACAGGTTTACTCATTACTACATACGCTAGAGCTAAAAAAGAACAAGCAGGGATCATCAGCCGATTGGCTTTTATAATCTGCGATAAGCAAAAAAGATCGGATATCAAAAGTAGACAAAATAGCGCGCACAGAGGAGAGCTCAAATAGTGGCTTATTTTGCTTTGCCCGCAAAAACTTCTGTGAAGCCAAATCGACAGGGATTCTTTTTAGCTATAATATAATCTCTGCGTTATAGGCTACTCAATGATGGCTACCCGGCAGCATTACTGGGTCATAGACGGTCCACGAAATCTTCCTGAAATTCTACAAATTTTCACCTCTCTCTTGTTCGGTGTTAGAATTTTTGAACGGTAATTATGATGATGGAGAACTTGCCTAATCCAGCAGAAATTGATATTGTTCAGATATGTTGATAGAAAAGCTTACTCGTTTCATTTGTTCAGGTTTCATCTGTTTTACAACTGCTGCTCAAATTAATCCAAATTCAGTTCGCAGATTGTTCGAAAGAGAGCAATTACTTACTGATACTACAAACAAACAGGAACATATGCAGAGATCAGTAGAAGCTTGGAACTTAAAATCAGAAAAATGAATGGACGATTAATTGGCTGCGAGTTAAGCATCAACATCGTTGCCGAATGATTACAAAAAGGCAATGCTTAAAAGAGAGGGGACGGAGGAGATTTCAACTCACCGGCGAAAAAATGCGGGACCGCTTATAGCAGTTAAGTGTTCACGCATTGCAAAACGACCGGTACTAACATTTACAGTTTGAGCATTTCTGCAGCTTGTAAACAGATAGAACATATTACCATGCGCATCTTTAGCAAAACTTTGGTGGAATATGAACTCCATGATGTGAAAAAAAATAGCCGAGACAAAAAACCATCGTATGCAAAAAAAACCACAAGGAACAATGAAGGCTATTACCAACAACATGGAAAATACTGCGTACCTGCTGGCGCTGCAGCTGAAGCAATTCTCTATCCGCCTCAGAAGGAAGCGTAAGCTCCGTGTTCAGCAAATTCTCCCGTTGTCTCTCGATTGTCTGTCTAAAAACTTGTATCGAGCAATGCAGCAGACAACAAATTAGTCTTACAAACCTTTGTTTTTCAATCAAAACCAAAAGATCATTCTGGGTAAGACCCATTTTAGCGATGGAGATTTCTTCCTCGGAAAGTGCAGGCACATTCGAGTTAGCTTGAGCACTACGACCCAGAACGGCGAATTTTTGCTCCATGACCATGTTATAGTCTAGAAACTAGTAAACATTGTCAGAAATATCTACAGAAGGAATATTATGAACAAAACCTACCAGGAGGGGGTGGTCGACCGCGATTCTTAGGTCGAAGTGGGATAGTAGGAAGAGAAGACGTACTGGTATTCTGTGGGACTCTGTGCTGTTGGTTCGTCAAAGCTAAACAACGCAAGCTCGTTGCTTATTTCTGTGCAAACGTGCAAAAAAACACATCGAAAAAAAAACGAATAAGAAAAACATCTCCACCTGAGGGTAACGCTGATGGCATACTGCTGCTAGATACGTTTTGAACAGTCACCAAAGAGGATCCGCTCGGAATATCTAAACTTCAGAATTTATGAGAAGAAAACTCTAGACACATGATATTCACAAATCTTAGTATTTATACATGTGAACTGAGTCGAAGTAGGAATGTAATAGAAAGAAATGTTAATTTCGTTCAATAAATAAAAAGAAAGAGAATTATCAAGCGAATCGGTTTCGCTTGAACGTTGACTCATAAAGGGGAGCAATAAAATCCAATCCACGTCATCAGAAAAAAACCGAAATTGTAGGAAAATACGAGCTACCGCAAGAAAACAGCTTCAATGCTTTCCGATAGCGACAAAAAAGCATCTTCAAATGCGAAAACAGAAAACCGCAGAGCAAATTTTCCAAGATGATAGGTAAAGTGCGGATACCCATACATATTTCTGGATGAAGATGCAAGGTGCTCCGTAAAATGAGCGGACTCTCCAAATAGTGGAGAGCACATGTGTCAAGGGAAAAAAGGAGTCCGGACAATGCATGCAAAGCTGCTCAAAGCAGCAAAAGGAAACAGGACAAACGACTTTTCTCGTACAATGAAACTGAAACAGCATACCTGGAGTTGTACTTGATAATGCACTATTATCGTTTTCGTCATCAATCTTTTTCAAAACAAACGTCACGTTTGACATATGTTCACGCCACTTTTCCAGCAATTCAAGTGGTTTATCGACTGGGGAGAGACGACGTTCCTGCACAAATATGTCCACAAACGTTTCTCGCTGTATAAAAAACCGCGCACCTTGTTTCGAAATTTCTCAATCATTACAAATCGACCTTTTTGGCTGATCGCGTGTGCGAGCGCATAGATGATTTGAGCACAAGTGGTTTCGCTTGAGACTCCGGAAACACTTCGTTCAATTCCGTCAACGCTCACTTTCAATTCCATCTGAAAGATTGGGACTATTTGAATAAGAAAAAGTACTCTGTCAGCATTGCTATGATAGCGAATGAAATATCAACATATAACCGATACATCACTTAAAGCTACAAATTAGGAGTCAAAAACAAGAAAATTAAAACATAGGGCAAGAACTTTTTAAGCGAAAAGAAGAAACGACTCTGAAAGATGTGCATCAACAATCTTCGGCGACGTCCTCATCACAAAGAATGCCGATCTGCTCCGAGGCGACGACGATGGTGCAGCATTTTTGCACTGGAGCACATTAAGCCCCCTCCAACTTTGCGAAGTTCTACTCATCATCAGTTTCTGTGAAACAAGCAAAGGCAGGCATTACAAACTACGAAAAGCGGAGGGAAGAGATCAGCGAGGCTAACATTACAATCGTTGATTTCCACGAGACGGAGAAGTTTAACTGTTTCAAAATTGCCGTTCAACAAAAAAACTATTTTTTGGAAATGCGCAGATCTTAGCAGCACCTTTTAGGAGAACAGTATACATAACCAACGGAAAACACTCAATGCGCTCAGCCGTGTTAATCTACAAAGCGCGCATGAATCGTTAGAAAGACACTTGGCAGTTCTTGAAAACCGGTAACCGATGATCTCCCTCGAACGCACACTTTATAGCGCTTTGCATTCTAGTTCCTCCACACAGCCTCAGCGTTGATATTACACTTGATGTTGATCAAAAAGGTACCCTTGAACGAAGGAGATCAAAGGTTTTAGGTGCTATTCTACATTAGTTGACCCAAAAATGAAAAGCGCGGATTTCGCTGAAACTTCGTCCAGAGGGTTTGTTTTCCGCGCTGATTACGAATATTACATTTATTTCGCACGCTAGTCCCATTCGGTGGAGTTACGGTAGGATTACGGTAGGGGACCGAAACCATGGATTTGCCCCAAACTTCGTCTATGGGGTTATTTGGCACGCTGAACATGAAAATCATATTCATTTTGTACGGTAGCGCCAATTTCTCGGGTTAGGTTTGTATACGGTAGGTAGCTAACAATCCCGAATTTGCTCACAACTTTGCCTGAAGGGGTTCTTAACACGTTTCGGACCGGTGCTGCACATGGTGCAGCACGCTGCTTTGAAGGTTCTTTCTGAAGTTTGCAGGAGGTTTCCTTTAAGTCCGAAGATACTGAGTTAAAGGTCTAAGCTCTTACTTTTCAAATGACTCTATAGAGCTGTGCCACCGATATTTGTTTACGAGATATAAGGACAAATCGGACAACAGTTGCAACGAAGTGCGGCAACGCGAACGACGCGTGCGACGTCGCAACTCTTCTTTGCTCCGATTTCAAAGAGATAAACCGTAATTTCACTAGTGACGAGTACAGTGTACAACATAGATACTTTTGAATACTATTTGAAACTAAGTTCTTACTCCTATCTCTCAAGAAAGCACAAAAGTCCCTCTCAGGCGACAAAATTCAAACGCTTCAAATTCACCCAGAACTTTGGGTATGGAGCTTATCTGGCATGTTGATACAGATGTAGTCCACAGTCTGCGAAATAAGGTTCCTTTGCTGGCTAACGACCGAAAGTGCACTCTTTTTCGCCGCGCGCGATTTCGCGGTCCGAAACGTGTTAAGCATGCTGATTGCAAATATCATGCTCTCTTTGCGTTTTGGAACGCGGAATTACCATAGTTGTACATTAGGTGGTTACAGTGATAGAATAGCTCAATCAGCAACCCCCCCCCCCTTTGTGCAGAGGTGTTATCTGACGTGATCACGCATATCGACTCGTTTCGCATGATAAAGCCTTTTCGTGGATTTTTGGCATCTAAATTTGGCTGAAAAGCGGGAAAGTTGCTCTTTTAAACTACAGCTCATCGTAACTCTGATAATAAAGCATTGTTGCAGCGAAAGCATGATATTTGCAACCAGCATGCTTAAGAACCCCTTCAGCCAAACTGAGCAAATCCGGGATTCTTAGCCATCTACCGTATGCCCGCCGTAACCCGAAAAATGGCCCTACCGTACGAAGTGAATACGACATTTATGTTCACCTTGCCAAATACCCCCTTAGACGAAGTTTGGGGCAGATACATGATCTTGAGCTCCGACCGTTCCTACTCTAACTTCTACCTTGCGAAATAAATGTAATATTCGTATTTACCTTGCAAAATAACCCCCCAAGACTAACTTTCAGCGAAATCCGCGATTTTCATTTTTTGAGTTGACTAATGTGGAATAGCGCCTAAGTTGCAAAGGCATTATCTATTGTATTTACTAATTCAGTTACACGGTATACACTTAACATTTATCTGTTTGTTTTTCGTCCGTTATACCTAAGATAAAAATAGTGTAGGGAGCTGTTTTGTGAACATTCAAATCGCCCTCTCGAAGTATAGGGAAGTGCTGATTCTTTCATGTTTTTCAAGACTATCTTGTCTTGAGTAGGCCAAGTTTTTGTCGACTCAAGCATGCATTGAAAGCAGGAAGTCGGAGTCTCTAGAGTATTAATGACCTACAAAGCCGAATGGGCTCTTACAATATTAACACATTCACGACAATACGACCCACCGGTGGGTCGCTTGCTCTGTCCTTTCGGACAATACGACCCACCGGTGGGTCGTAAGATTCCTGAAGCTCTAGCTTTGCCAATTTACGATGAATTCTACGGCGTTCTGACACATGATTGGGGATACCTTGGCAAAGCTCCAGCCAGAGTGGTCCGAGTTCGGATACTGTAATGTAGTGTTATGGTAGGTACACCGTTGATAGAGATAAGCCACATACTTCATTCAGATTTATCGCGGAGTGGTGCTGTTTCTGAAAATTCAAGTTTATATGCACGAGAAATACGGGAAGGGCACGAGACTGATGTTAGCATGTCAAAAAATTATCGATTTTATTGATTTCATTGATTTTTCGCATTGTTCATCCCAGGGAGCTCAGCTGGGTTCGTCTGAATGAATGCCGTGACCTTACCGTATCGTGCAAAAAACTGGAATAAATCATATTTTAATAATCAGCGCCTTCGATAACTGTTTTGAATTTTCCAAAAAGACTACCATTTCAAACAACACGACCCATGGGTGGGCCGTAAGTTTGACAAAGCGAAAAGGGCTCTGGTCCGAAACGGCAGTAATCGAGAAATCGGCCTTGTCGTGAATGTGTTAGGAATTCTATATGTAGAATTTGATTGCTCAGCTTTGGTCTTCGAAATCTCACGAAACATCCAAACCGAATCTGACATGAAACATTGGAGGCCATGAAATAATCGACTTTATTTACATCTCTTATGTACAATCATTAACTAGAATGACACTTTTTACCAAAATTCGATAATTGTAATACTGAACAAAGGCAGGAGATCTTACAAAGCCCAGAATCATGATGTGTATAAACTGGAATGGTTCTTCTAATAAAAGTATATGTAAAGAACTTCTTTCATTACCAAACATTAGAATATTGTGCTTTGTTGATGTAGTTTCTTAACGCTCATTGTTCTCCTGTGATGTTGTACACACCCGAATGATAGCAGATCACGAAAACATCGTCGAAAGTCGCCATTGTACATTGTGTAGATAATAGGATTTAGCACCTGCAATACGAGATCTTATTATGTCTGGTTGGACATCTTTTCCAGCTCTTACTAAGCAATAGATGTGTTGAAGCTGTAATTTTTACGATGAGGGTGCTAAATTTGTGAAGTCGTAAGATGTAATATCAACAAAATCAGCCTTGAAGCAAGAAATTTTGATCCAGTTATTAGGTGGAGATTCATGAGAAGAGCTGTATGTCTCAAAAAGGAGCTCATATAAAAGTGAAACCTACTCGGTCTTTTCAGCGCTGATTTAAGTGCCTGGACGCAGCGCCCAAGCAAATTCGGTAGATAGAATGTCCAAATGGCAGCTTATAAGAATTGTTCGTAAAAAAATTCAATTTTGACCCTTCGGCCGCTACCATTCGAGCAGGCTGATTGGTCGGTCAGGAGACTACGGTATTCAAGCCAATTGGCGAGGGTAAGAGTTGCACTCAACATCTCATGTCATATTAGCAGCCGTCTGATCAGTGCCCGGACAAAAATATTTTTTTTATTGAAGCCAATCCTTTCAATTGATACGGAAAATGGGTCCCAACCTAACATGCTGAACAAGCTTTTCTCGGAGTCCTCGATTTTGAATGTAAAAAACCTGTAGACGCAAAGCCCGCCAAAAGAAGCGCTGTCGTTCTGGGACCACTGTTATAATCCTGTGCGTGTCTTATGAGGCAGCTATGTCAGAGCTTCTGGAGCTTTTATCCTTCAAAAGCGGAATTAGGGGGAGGGGGGAGACGGAGGCGTTGATGTAACATCTTTCAGCTATATTAACCTACAATTTCAGGTACTCCTTTATTCCTTCAACCTCATCTATATGTCTTTCAGAAATGAAGAATACAAATAGAACTCACCGAATTTGAATACCCTAACCACAAGAAGAATTCGTTGATTAGCTTGAAAGCTCGTGAGGTACTCAGCGACGTAGCGAAAACTTCTATGAGATACATAACGAAGAATGGCATCCAACAAATAATAAAACCTGGAACAAAGGTGTGACAGATATTCTACAAATAGACAAAGAGCTAAGCGTACCCAAAACAACGATGCCAATAGTCTTCAGGGCTTTTCGTTCTCTCAAGTACACCATTTTTTCTTTTGAGCCTCGAACAGCTTTTCCAGGTCCATTGATTTGGTAATGTTCGTAAGCCTATAATTATTTGTATGAAGAGATATTGAAAAGGCTCCCTCAATCTGGGTGCATAGTTGCCTGTGTGCCAGTGCCATGCTAGCTTGGTGCCAACTTTTAGGTGGCACCCCATCGCCGCTAGCACGGCACTGGCACGAGCAACACTGGACGCAACCTCTATGCGCAAAAATTGCTTGTTCACCTTTGCAAGTAAATTATTCGGCTGTAGGCGAGCGTGCACAGCCTGAGCTCGGCGAGTCATCGCCGGAACTTCCGAGTTCACCTCGGTGCTTTTCCGTTTCGGTGCATGCTGCAAAACAAGTGCATCGTCCAACATTGAAGCTGCTTTTGCATGAGCTTACTTGATCGCCGTTAGCAAGATCAGCCATTGAAAAACACTCTCTTTCCATAGAATTGCGATGATCTTTTTTCTCCTTTTCCGAACCGTTCGGTGTTGTCAATGTCAACAAAGCCGTGGACATCTGCAACGGTTCACAATCAATTTGTCGGTTTTGTTATAGTAAGTTTTAACTGTTTGGGCGCAAAATGGACTGGCGGGAGTCCGCTTCGCAACGATTCGCGCCGCTCTGCAGTCTGCGTCTCTTCATTCTTATTTATCGCGCTAAGCCAGTGGCGGTGCGGACGCGCTGCTCCACTTGGAATGTTTTGCCGACTCCGGGTTGAAAAAGACTGTATGTGACAAAACGAGATGGAACAGAATGGTCGCTTTGTATTTAAAGAAGGAAGAAAGCCCTTGTTGCAAACCAACAAGAAAGATGCCCATCCAGCTTTTTGATAAAACTTACCTTCGAGTCATTCGTAACTTGATGTGGTTTGCACACCATGCGCGCCAACCGACGACATTCTTACTAACAGCTCCTCAGTAAAACCTTTTAACAAACTATGAAATTTTCCACTGATTGATAATCAATCAAATCGAAAGAGATAAGGAAATAAAGGAAAATCACTGGAACTGAGCATTTTGATGTTACAAGTCGTCAAGTAGCACGCATGGTGTGCAAAGAATATCAAGTTACAAGTGACGCGACGATATGTGAGAGGCACAATACTTTGAATTCTTCATTGACGATCGTTCCTTGTCGGAGGGCAATGTTGAGATTCTCTATTGTTTTTTAATGTATTTTGTTAATAGGAGAGAAAGGTGTAGTGAGAAATTTTGATGGGCGGCTGACTACAGCTCAAATTTGTATTATCAAATAACTTTCAATGCTTCGTACATGTGTGAGCCAATATTTATTTTTTCTTTCGCACAGACTGACAGGTGGCAGGTGATGTACAATCGATGTCAAGCAAGTGCTTCCTTTTCCGTAGCAGCCACGCGTCCGCACCGCAAGGGTCTGGCGCGGCGGCCTCGATGGGGCGAGTTTTGAGTGCAGAGCTACACGCGTGCGAACGCGGCGCGAGGCTCTGGGGTTGCGAATTGGCTGGTGGAAAGGGGAGCACAAATTTGACACGGACTGTAACGTCCTTGCGTTGCCAACCCTTGCGCGTGAAAAAAGGCGCCATAGCGCGCAAAATCTGGAAAGGTGCTCAATGACCATTTTGCGCCACTAGTGTTGGCACCGCAGCGACACCATACGTGCCAAATTTATCTAACTGCAGCAAGAATGGCTACTAATAATAATTTTAATAATAGTATTGATGGCAAGAGAGCAAACCTCAATGCTGTTCTGGGGAGATTCATCACACTCTGTCGATCGCGACTCTTGCCTATTTGCTGGCTCGTGCCGCCTAAATAAAATACATAAGGAATAATAAATGATATGAAATGTACAGTATAATTGTTCATTGAAGTACTGTAAACACCTCTTCAAATGACCAGATTTTTTCTACAAGCGGCGTTCTATGATGTAAAAGCTGATCCCGAGCGAAGGCGAGTAAATTGTTGTTGCGAAGCGGTAGCGAAAGCTACGATCGGGCACTTATTCTCAGCGGAGCGCGTATGCACAAAGGCAAATAACCACGCGCAGCGTTCACGTGCGCTTAAGTCATAGGAGCTCCGCTTTTATTGCGGACTAGTATATAAGTATTAGGTTGTCCGGAAATTAATGTCCGTTTTAAATTTCAACCGCAATAAGTCATACACTTCTCATTTCTAGACAGTAAGCAAAGCACCATTCGATAGAGCAAAGCAAACTCTACAATGTGGCAGTCTTGCTTTAACGACAGCTCTGATCCATCTCGAGTTGCAAGCCAAAACCTAAAAAGATTCAACTGCCCGAAAAATCGAGAAAATCGTAACTCTTTTCGTAAAAATCCTACAATAATTCTAACTTGCACAAGTATACACTGTCTACACAAGACATCTATATACGCCGCTGCTGTATTTTTTCCTTCGTTAGAAATCAACAAAACGGAAATTCTCGTGCATTTGCCAAAGTGATGCTGTGCTGTCCCCAAATACATAGGTGATTGTATACTACAAACCTGTAAAAATAAAAACGCAAATTCTCAGCTCTGTGCAGGCTTTAGTTCTTGAGAAATTTCGAATATAGCTTTCTCAAGTCAGGGGGTCCAAACTGAAATTCAGATTTCTCGAGAACTATAGCTTATAGAGAGCTAAAAATTTACACCTGTAATTCTACAGGTTTGTAGTATACAACTACCTATGTGAGGACAGCACGGCATCACTTTGGCAAATGCACGAGAATTTCGGTTTTCTTGATTTCTAACACAGGAAAAATTACGGCAACGGCGTATGTAGATGTCTTGTGTAGACAATGTTTACGTGGGCAAGTTAGAATTTTTGTAGGAATTTTATGAACAAAGTTACGATTTTTCTCGATTTTTCGGGCAGTTGCTTTGTTTTTGGCTCAAAACTCGAGATGGATCAGAGCTGTCACTAAAGCAAGATTGCCATCTTGTAGAGCATGCTTTGCTCTATCGAATGGTACTTTGCATATTATCTAGAAATGAGAAGTGTATGATTTATTGCGGGAAATTCAAAATGGACATTAATTTCCGGGCAACCTAATAGTTATAGTATCAGTAAGATTACGAAATTGCTCACCTCGCGTATTCCATAGGTCGCACGGAGTAGTTTATCCTGCCAGAATTGTTTACTTGTACTTTTGAACGAGGGTTTGGAGCGCTAGATGTCCTTTAATGAGTTGATAATTGCAAAACCTTGGTAAAGTTAACTTACCTGAGATTGTTCCGGTTATGTTGATTTTTCATGATACGATTGCTAAGCCTACATGTTCCAACGGACTGTTGCATCAACGCCTCCCTCTCTGACGCAACCCGAAAGATTTTGAAGTAAACGGATAGCATTACCTAAATTGAGTTAGCGAAGAGAGTTCACTAATTTATTCAATTGACCGACTTACCAGTAACGGAATGTAAAAACTTCCAAGAGCGCTATATATTCTATACGGCACTGAGGGAGAATAACCGCACATAAAACTGTCGTCGTGAAGGATTAAAGTGGTTTTGTTATTAGTCACAACCTGTGGCTAAAAATCGTAATTGAATGAAGCCTTTTCAAACAAGTTTAGGGTAGCAGATTTGAAGGTTAATAGAGTGTATCTGCGGTGTCGGCAACATTTGCGCGTAAACATAAATGACAAAAAGACGCAAAACTTGAAAATGTGCGTTTCAAAAACATTTTACGCGAGCAAATTCGCTTACATTACAGGCATGATAATTTATCCACGCGCAAATGCTGTCGACACCGCATGTGTACGATCATCACTCTGAGAGAATATTCTCGATGAAAAGAGAAAAGTACGTTACCTGTTGGTGATCGACAAATAATCCCCATCCTGGCACAAACCAAGGAGGACTGCATACTATCAATGAAAGAATCCACACTGATGATAAAAGGCATGCAGCCATTTTCCGTGACCTGAAATCTTTCGTATTACCAATAATCAAGCCATGATGATATTATTTAACTGGTCATTTTCTTTGAAAAATCGCGCTTGGTTATCACTTTATTTTCCAACAATATAGAATTTTTTCACCACGTGTATTTCTTGATTGTATTGTATAGGGTGTCCCAAAAGTACGTATACACTGTTTGATCGTTGAAATCTCTTTTCCCAAGAAGTCTTTTGTCTACCTCTAAGCACAATTTCGTAGAGCTGGCTTCATTTTAGATTTACAGTATGGAGCGAATCACCGGTTGCTTTTGACTGTAGGAGTACGGTAGAAAATTCAAGAAGGGTTGTGAGCCATCAAGAGCCCTATTTCGCCTCAGAAAGCAAACCGAACAACCAGAAAACTTTTATACTAGATCGTTGAAATCTCTTTTCCCAAGAAGTCTTTTGTCTACCTCTAAGCACAATTTTGTAGAGCTGGCTTCATTTTAGATTTACAGTATGGAGCGAGTCACCGGTTGCTTTTGACTGTAGGAGTACGGTAGAAAATTCAAGAAGGGTTGTGAGCCATCAAGAGCCCTATTTCGCTTCAGAAAGCAAACCGAACAACCAGAAAACTTTTATACTAGGTCAACTCAAGCCGCTGAAACCGAATATGCTGTTTGCACTTAACTGCAACGCTTCCCTCATAATTGCCAGGTAGACCGCACTAGCTGTTTTGACAAGACTCCTTAAAATCGCGATTACACCCTTTTAAAAGCTTTACAAACTAGTAAAATCTTGAATAATAAAATCAGCGAGCTTGAAAACCCTAGTACACCACTTTTCAGATTATTTGCAATTTTTTTTGAAACACGGTAAATCCGTAATGACGCTGTAAGATGGAAGTTCCTACCGTAGTCTTACAGCATTAAAGAGTGATTGTGGTTCGCTTCATACTGTAAATCTAAGTTGAAGCCAGCTCTACAAAATGGTACCTAAAGATGGGCAAAAGACTTTTTGCGAAAAGAAATGTTAACGGTCAAACAGTGTATACATACTTTTGGGACACCCTGTATAATAGCAAGTCGTATATTTTTCGGAACTGCTCACAAAAAGTGGAAATTCAATTAATCGGTCATCAAAATTATTTTGAAAAATTACGTCGGACACAAAACTCCATACCCTGCCTCTCTGCTATGCAGTGATCATGCAGGGTCTTAGGTTACTCATTTTTGAAAAATTTTCTTCCATGTTTATTTTGTTCCCCAATATTGCTTTTCTCATTGAGTACTTGGAAAAATGCGATAGAATAATACTATTGCTGTCCAGGGAGCAAGTGGAGGTGAAAAGTCAGCAAGTCGTATAAAAGTTCTGCTCCCAACAATAGCCAAAGATTTTTTTTCTGAGTATAAGGCCTAGAGAGCAGAGAAACAAATTTGCTATATATTTTTAGTTTTCCTTCCGCTCTACCATTATATGTTTTCAGATGATTTGAATGCTTTTGAGCATGTTTTTTTTCAAACGGCTTATGTGTGCTCTCATGCGAGCTCAAACCACTCAATGGCTTTGCGGGGCAAATAATGCCCAAGCTATTCGAGAGTAATCGGTTACAGAAAATAAGAAACATTTTATGACCTTTGTTGGAAGTGATGCATATGCAAAACTGTGTTTTTTTTCAAAATTTCTATTTTCTTCCTGAAACATAGCGCACAATGCTCAAAATAGAGGGCAATTCGAATTTAATGCGCGCTCTTGCGCATGATACACTGAATATTTCATTCCAAGTGTCATGAGGTTTTTTTGAGTATTTCGTCAATCAGTAATGTGGAGTGCAACAGAATTAATTTGCTAATCTAAATTTGTCTTATTTAATTTGCAAAAAAAATTTATAAACTCCTGATGTTGTGTTACACTTATTCAATAAAATAAAATGAAACAATATAAAAGCAAATAATTCATACCACAAGGAGCACTTTACGGGCTTTGGATATAATTTTGGGCAAAGCTAAGCTGCAAGCGGAGAGGAATGCGTGAGTGATACCAGTGACTCGTACCGTAGTTTATGAGTATGCGAGTGCACACAAGGTGTGGAATTTTACGACTGCTTGCAGTAAATATCCAGAATACATTGAAATTGTTCTCTCTGTTCTCTCTCCCTATTCAGTTATTCAGGTTTGTGAAAGAAACACTCAAGAGATTGGTGAATTTTGCAGCTTACGAATGTATTTTCAAAGTAAGAAATATCTTGCATTTTGTGCAAACACATTAAAATGGCTCTGCTGTAGATAATTTGAACTAGTTTGAGCATTTTTAGGTGCAATTTCATTAACACTACTAATCTTATGATGGAAAATTCCCTGAGCAAGGCAGAAAGACCTTTGAAGACGAAATTCGATCCTTAGAATAATTCATGAGCATTACGCCAGAATTTCTCACAATTTAGTTTCGTTGGTTTCAATGGATTTTTTTGGCTTGGCAAACTTTAAAAAGGTTTCAATAATTTTCTAGTATCGCTCAAACATAAATCCTAGTTGGCATATTGCGGCGATACAAGGTGAAAGTAAAGAAAGTTGAATTGATTTTTTTTTCAAAATCATTCGTCCATATAAGAAAAGGGGGTCAAAATTCAATTCTAGTTCTGACTTGGTTTTGTGAGCTACTTCTTCCAAAGAAAAAATTTTTTTTTACAAAAAGTCTTTTTCAAACTTCCTTTCTAATTTTCGATTTTGTGAAAGAAGAACTCTAGAATGCGCAAACGCATTATCATGATGAAAAAATTTAGCATAAATTGAACAGTTCATTCCACTTTTGACTTGATTTTCGAAGACTTTAGTTGATTGTTTTGTTCATATTCCCTTCATTCAGTTGGCTATAGTTTTTCTTGCTCTGTCGACTACACAAATAGCTATGGATGTCTGCAACGATGAAAGCATGCTCAATGAGCCGCAATATGATGTGAATCTGGCAATTCGCATAGCAGCAGACGGTGTACTTTTTTACGCAAAAATATCAAGAGTATGCAAACAAAAATGGGTGCAATATAGAGGACAGTCTGATATTAAATATATTTGGGTATGCTTGATAAATGCTTAGATTACTTCACAGACTGGAAACATATATATGAGATTTTTGGTGCTTCCTAGTCGATGATTTACAGAATTTTGCTTAAAAATTGCAAAGCTCAAAAAATAAAATGAAAATCTTGCATGCTGACCAACCTTGTGCGAGGATATTTAAGCGGTGAGGTAATGGCCATATACCGATCCAAACTGATCACGCATAGATTTAATATACTAGCAGTACAGAGAAGAACATCTGATGTCGCCCATAATCCGCATAAAAATTTTCCTAAAACTTCATTAATCAATCCTATTGTACCCTCTAAGAAAGGAGACGTACCTAAAGGCCATCGATGATTATGGAGCAAATCTAGAAGTGACATCGGCATAACCAACAGTCCCACCAGAAGATCTGAAAGATTTTCAGTTCTATGTTTTATTTGTAGATCGACGAAAATGTCTATCTTTGTTGCAAATGTGGATCTAAGATTATTCACAAAATATCTGAAGCTTAAAAGCTGTGTTGAACGTTTTGGAAAGAACCAAGAACGAATTAATATATTGGTGAATGTGGTGACCACAGTTGGAGATTACTTGGTCAAAAGATAGAGAATTAAATTAGAGGAATGCAAACATTGAACATTTAAGAATAATTCAGAAATCATTTTGAAGCCTAAAATAAGCCAAGAATTACCTGCAGTTGATGAAATTTGAGAATAAATAAACAAACAAAAAGAAAGTGATTTTGCTTGTTTTACAATTCATTTTATCACTTTGGTATATTTGAATATGCTTCAGGACTCAAACAAAGGTATCAATTGCCCTAAAATCATGGACCACTAGTTCTTCCTATATAAGGTATTGTTAATTGCGATTAGAAAACCAAGTTATTTCACAGATCCAGAAATTTCATTAAAGTCAGCTCAAACATTATCCAGATCCATAATATGAAGGACAAACTTAGGTTCGTAACTTCCCATTTGAGAAGGTTTTCTAATATGTCATTTTTGCAAACTAGTATCAAAAATTCAAGTCTTTCTATTATCAATAAGTCGTCGTAAGCCTCCTTTGCAGTAAGGCAGTTAAAATTGAAAGAAAACCATTTTTGATTAATCTGTTTATCGTTACATCAAAAAAAAAATTTTTTTGATAGAATAAGTCTTTCATATAATGTCGATTTTCTAACATATTCACCATCTGTAGATACTGAATTGAGGGCTAAACCACTAGAAATGTCGAAACCTATTTGTGTTTCTGAAAGTTATAAAATAAAAAAGTTAAGTCAAAGAATTACGAAATTTTGTATCTTTTTGGCAATCATATTCTAACTTCTCATTTGTTTCATTATGATCTCTGAGTGGGTGTGGCGCGAGCGGAAAATCAACCAATAGCCGCCAAATACATATCTTAGAACCAAGCGAATTTTGGATGATTGGCTTTTCGCGCCGAATCTACTGAATTCTTATCACGTGACCTAACGAATCGAAGCACATGTCTGATCAAATCTACGTCCAAAAACGCTGGAAATACAGCGTTTGAAACGGCGAATTAGTTTGACGTTTTCAAAAAACATTAGAATTTGTTTTGTGATGCAGTTTTCTTGTAAATTTGCGCGTAATTTGAACGCTTGCAAAAAAAAAAAAGAATTCGACTTGTTACTTCCTCGAATTCTGGCTTACTTCGTCCTAGTTTGGACTTGTATATATATTCGTACAGTGTAGTAACTTTGCTGGTCAGTTGCTAGTGCGGTGACCTTATTTGTGCAATAGCTAGCCATGGAGCGCGAAAGACAAAATGTGCGCTTCATGATTATGCACGCGCAAGTGTTGTCAGCGTCGCAGTAACATAACCACCGAAATTTATTTTTTACATATTTACACATCAATAATCAACACAAAAACCACAACATGAAGAGAATTTTTCAACAGACCGAATAAGAAGAATATTGGTTTACCTGCGGTGGCTAGAGAGGTCAACAGTATATTTGTAAATGTTCGCATCCGCTTGTAGACGACGACGGAAAGGACCACCAAAATGTTACCGAAAACCGTCAGCAATATCATCATCACCTGCAAAAAATTGTTCAATTATATGCGGGGAATTCCAAAGATCGAATTGATCTACGCTCTCAAGCGTGAAAATTTTTCGAGTCTTAGCAGCTAATCAAGGCGAACAGCAATCAGCGGTCTTTGAATTGTGACATACTATCTTTGCGAGGAAAGCAGATGAACCAAGGAGACCACAAGACTAAGTAGGTGACTTCCGAGCAGATTTCCGTCTCAGTGCTTTCTCAAGCATGGAATGATCTAGCATATATATAAGGATGCTGAATCGTTTGCTGTTGCATAGGATGAACTTAAAATTGCAATAAATGAAAAGTTTGGCCCTCTCCTTGTTCTTTTCAAATCAGAACCATTCTCAAACAAATGTCCTCAAAGTATTAGGTCGTAACATAAGTTTTGAGACACTTTTTTCATTTTCTTCTGATAAACTCTAGAAACTTTGACAAAGTCTAATATTTGGCACATATGAGCAGTGGACGAAGGAGTATCTACTAGCATCACTTCTACCTATACAGGTTTAGGCTACAGGAAATATAGAGGCAGTTTTGTGACGGCACTCAAAGCTCCATTTTCTTTTGCCTCTAAAAATTCTCTCGTTCTTATTTTTTATGCTCTCAGATTGTTGCATTCCCAGGGACACTTGTACTAATATGAGGAATGTTTGGGAATCTAGGCTGTTCAATAACAAAAGTTGGGAATTTGTCAAAAATAATTCAGAAATTAAAAAAATATTTCAGAAATTGGATTTTTCACGTGTGGCATGTATATATCGAAATGTTACAGCCTTCCACTCAATTTGGTGATGAGAAAAAATCTTTGGTAAAAGTTATGAAGGTTTTTCTCTTCAAATGTCACAAAACTTATGTTACAACTTAATAATGATGATCAAATGCAACAAAGATTAATAAGTCGAACTCAAAGAAAATTTATAAGTAAGTATGGCTAAAGGGCAACAAAAAAAATCCAACAACAAGGAAACTTGTAATAGCAACGGAAGAAATTATGAAAATCTGTTGATCACTCGTCTTGCAAATAAAATGGATCATGCTCTCGAACATAAATAGCAAATGTGAAAGAGCCCTTGAGCTGATTTGATTTCTTGAATTTTTCGAGAGCCAAAAGCTCAGCCATAGTCGAACCTTCCTTAACTTGCACAATTCTTTGCATATTAACACCTTTTGAGTGTTTTTAGCAAGATATCTACAAAATAAGCTATGAAGAAAACCTGGAGTTCAACATTTCTTTTTGATTAGTCGTTCGCCTGTCCGAAAATGTTAAAAAAAAAGAAAAAATTGCTGATAACGAATTAGAGGTTGAGCACAAATTTTAACAGTGATTTGAAGCAGTCGTTATGAGGTTAATTTTCATATCACGCAAATTTTTCCTAAGAATTTCACACCATTCGAAGCAGTAAGGAACTATCCAGGTTTTTTACTTGCTTCATTGCTGAGCTCTAAATAAATAAGAATTAATTCAGTAATTCTAAGAAAAATTCGCAGATATGCGACAAAATTATTTTTGACTGAATTGCCTAAGTTCCATTGTATTCTCAAGTATCCGATGTCCAGAATACTGTAAGGCAAGTTTACAGATAAGTTCCCCTTACTAAGTCTAATTTTGACTTAAGTTTGAGCAAGAAGTTGACGAAATGAGCAATCGCGCATTCAGACATTTCCTCCAGAAAAAAACTAATTGTGATAGCTTGACGTTTTCTTTTCGGAAAAGCCTACAGTATCTCAACAAAAAAAGAACATTTGAGCTCATTAAGTAATAAAATCACTCACTAAAAATAAAGCGATGAAAACGTCATGTAATCCGAGGCACAAACGATAGGGAACTGGCTGAATTGGATGTCCTTCTTGTGGAGCTGGGGGGCTTGTGCTGGTGCTCCACAGTGCTCCCAAAGCCGCCTAAAACTTGGAAAATATAATTTAAATATTCTTTGAAAGATTTTTTGTATGTTTTGAGGTTCCTAGGTGGAAAAAAATTCTTTGGAAATTCTCATTTACTTGGATATAGACGAAAGCTGTCCATGCCATGAGTCTGCCCACTAAATCCTGTTCGGGTGCGTAACCCATCTGTCAGTTAGAATAACGAAAATGTACTAGAAACTCAGCAACGCTCATAGCTGCAGGGGATAAAAGCTGACTACGAACGAACGAGGGGAGGAGTGCGGGGGGGGGGGACTTGTGTATGTGTGTGTGATTCCCCTAGACCAGGCACTTAACGATGTGTAGGGCGGAACTTACCATATGTCTACGCCGACACACTCAGCTTTGCTTCTTTGACACCGCCAAACCAATTCTGAAACGGGAAAAATTTGGTAGTCATTGGGGAAACTTATTCATTGATAAGTCGAATTGACAAACAAAATGTTGAGTATACACCATGCGGTGCAAGAAGAAGATTTTTTGCAATGATGAACAAGAGCTGGCAAGGAAAGGATTTAATGGAGCGGGATTCTCCAACCTTCCCGAATATAGTAGAGGCTTGGCAAAGGTCCATACAGAATGCTCGGTTACAAAAAAAGCCTTTGTGACTGTATTATTAACTTATTTATCATTATTTACTGCTATTTTTAATTATTTATGTAAACAAAATAGTTCAACAAATATTTGCACTGCCCCTTTCAGAAGTGGGTAAGTTCAGTTTGGAAGCAAATGGCTGCAATGCTAGGGTTTTCAATTTGAAATAGATAAGGCACACTGAAACTTCAATAACTTTACTACACAAAGTTTCAAAAATGTTACAAAGTTGATACTAGCTAGAGATCTGAAGCGAACATCAAGTTGTTACGGCTTTGAGTGGAAAATGTGGAAAATTTTTACAAAAGCTTCTAGAATATTTTCTAATCTGTCTTCACAATCCACATTGAACTTGTTTTTATCACCTATCAGCGTCTATATTGCCTTTTGCTATACCGTTCAAATATGGACAAGTTTTGAAACCTCAAAATCTTGCCTCCAAAATGTGTAAATTATAGAGAGAATATGTCCCAAATGATCTTAGGACATGAATTTAATTGCTAGCTAGACTTCCAACTAGTTCTCTGGTATAAAATCGACATTTACGTTACTGATACTTTTATATTTTATTCTAAATTTTTAATTATCATGTCCCCAAGCCTTTTCATTTCCTCTTCTTTCCCTCCTTTTTTCTAGCAAACCTTCATGACGTCTCATTTGTTATCTATCTCACATTTCCAGACAGTAGATGTTATGACAGAATGTGATGCCATATAAATTGATACTATAACGTTAGTATATGAAGAGGAAGTTGTCAATCCTGCTAAAATTCTTGATCGAAAATTAAGTACTAGTGCAAAAGTACGAGCACTATGTGTAGAGTGTTCCAAGCATTTCTTTTTAAAAAATAAAAAGTAGGGAGGAAATCTTCCCAAACGAAACCACCATGAGACTCCCTCCAAGACCTTCAAAGAGACTGAGTAGGTACTTGGCGATTAAGAATGACGTCAGATGAGTATAGCTTTATCAGCGAATATATTGGCTAGTAATTAAGTCAGGAATGTATAAGTAATAGTGTTCAAAAGGACAAGGAAGCAAACTATGTGTGCAAGTTAATTTAATCAAGTGGATACCTGTGCATGGGCAGAAAATAACGGACAAATGGCTGTTTAATAAATAAATAGATAGAGATCACACAGTGTATTTAACCAGCCAATCTTTTAGCCTTGAGTAAAAAAGAAACTGATGGGATAGTAAATTTCAAACCCAAATTCTCCTCAGGTAACATAAGCAAATTCAGCTAGTATCTGTTGTCCTAGAACTCGTCATCAATCACGAAATCTTCTTATACCAGGATTATCCAGAAATACGAACTCATACTGCACTTCAAGGCTATTCCATAAAAACCTTAAGTCTAGAGTTTCAAAAAAAAATTGTGGCCCTTTGTATTCCAGAAATTGACAACTTCATAGTCAAAGATGTTTCTTCACAGTGCTTTAATAGAGTTATGTAATTAGTGATTTTGGAATTTGAAGAATATAAGATAAGACACGATATCCCGCAAAGGATGCAGAATTACAAAAAAGACATAAAATTAGAATTTAATCAGTCATTATAAAATAAACATGAATGCAAAATCAATGGATTCTATTGTCTATTTGACTCGTTTCTAAAAAGTGAAAAAAACCGAAAACCAATACGAGAGGAGGGTTTGCAGGTGATGCAGCTTAGAAAGAAGGAATATGGGCGCATAAGAAAAATATTATCCAGTTCATATATGGAAGTTAGATTTATTGACGATAATCTTCCAGGTAGTTGAAGGACTTCAACCTGGCCGTTTGTGCCTCAAGCAAGGAGTTAGAGAAATAGAACAGATGTTCTTGACAAGAGCGACACAGGATACCTCTTAGGGTCCCCTTTAGGGTTTTTCATAGTTCCTTATAATGATAATATTTTCAGACGCTAAACTTAGCAACTAATGAAATTTTGAGGCATTCTTGAGGAGAAGGTCTTCATGATTTTTCATTGCACAAAATATCCAGTTGCCAAATCACACTTCAAAAAATCGTAAGAATCTAAGATTATGGAATATATCTAATACAAGAAATCTAACGTTAACAGATCAAAAAGAGTCAATGTCTTAAAGCATTGGTAATCTAGCAGTAACCGATTAATCTCTAGTTCTACAAAAAATCTTACGATTTGTTCTACAAAAATTTTTTTCCATACTTCAAACCATGTCGCTAATGGCAATACCCTCTCGCTTGGTTTCGATTACAAACCCTTCAGATTATGAGAAGTTTTCATGAGAGCTAAATCCTTTGTAACTAAAAGATTGATGTGTTGAGCAAAAACTGAAGAGTAACGTGTCAGAATCTCAACAAAATTTGAAAACCCATAACTGCTAACATAATTTGAAAAAGTGAGTGATTTACAACAGGGCTCGGCACGAGCTGGTACCAGGGAAATTTCAAGACGAAGTCCCCTTTGATCTTGAAAATTTCGTACGAAGTCCCGTTTGTCCTTAAACCCTAAATGTAAAAAACCCTTAAAATAACGTCGACTAGAAAACGTCGCAATTTTTTTCTTTTCCGCCGCAAATACGATATTCCCTTTGCTTTTTGTTCCAAAAAAAGATTTCGAACTTGACCCGGTGCCGGATGTGCCGAGCCCCGACTTAAAAGCTTTTTCAAGTAATTGCTTTTCCAAATTAGTGGCAACGTTATGGACAATAAATGTTTCAAGAAATGCATTTTCCTTCCGCAAACACCATACAAAAAAAAAAGAATCACAGAATGTTTTGGCATCTGTCTCACCAACAAGGTAGGCTAACGATAATTGATAAATAATCGAAAATACTGAATTGGCAAGCATATTCTGTCAGGGACAACTTCGTTACCAACTAGAATAGCAAGCTGCAGACTTCGAAGCCGAAGAAATACACCTTTTACTTCCTGTTTTCTCTTGCAGCATCTTATTTCTCGTATAATTCAATATGTGTCAGAGGCAGTGACTGAAGGTTTGTTAACCTAACATTCTATTCGCAACATAGGCATGCATTTTATTGTCTTTTTTCCAAGGGGAAATTTTCGTAAATTGCTGGAGGGCTGATATCCAAGTACATCTTTGCTACTTTTATTCAGTAATCATAAAAATAATTTTTAGTTTCATAGAAAAGCCCACGAAACATTGTTGGAGATTTCATGCAATTGTCATCTCAAACAGCGTTCATTGCGTGACAATTTCTATTTCTAAGAAAATCTTGAAAGCAGCAGTTTGCATAATGGAGGACATAAGATCAGAATAAGTTACCAACTGCAAAGAAAAAGAATCAGAATGGAATAAATTTCTTCAGATTATTTTATTGCAGAATTTTTTAAAAGTAGCGCACATGAAGCTCTGAAGGTCCGTCCAAATGAGCTAGCAGCTGCTACAATTCAAATAAGTTGATAGTGCCTAGATAGACAGCCAGTCGAGAAATTATAGTTTTTTTAAGATTTTAAAATTACGCGTAAAACCAACCCCAAAATAATGAAAGTCAGAGAAAGGCTTTGCAGAATACGAGTCAATTTCTTGTGAAATGACGCAATGTTAAGAATGCAATTAGAAAGGACAAGAAGACAGCATATTTGCAAGGGAGGAAGCAAATTTCTTTTCTGAAATAATTGTTTGAGGCAGTCGTAGCGTCATACATGAAGGACAGACTTTCTTCTATATATTTTTAGTACTTTACCTAAGTTACATCATAGTAATGTTTGTTTAAAGCATAATATTTACTCTACATTTCGTATAAAAAAACGATTGAAGTATGATGTGTTAAGTATCTATTCAAACTCTTTTGGACTCTATTCACTAAGTGTGTTCTGTACTTTGAAAAGTGAGTGCTCAAGATTTGTACTATTATGGGTCTAAATGATACATACACACCTGACCACAAGAAGTTCAAGAAAATAAAAGACTTTTGTTCCAGCAGCTCTAAAGGGCCGGACATACTTCACGCGATTTCAATCGCGACGCGATTTGGCAGTTCGCCAAAAGTCTTCAGATTCAACACTAGCAAACTTCACGTGCATAGTGTGTATATCTAACGTGGACTGATAAAATGGCCTATCTTCTGTACATTTGAAATGGGCTTAGATTCAGTTACGGGCGGTTGGAATATTGCCAAATCGTGTCGCGACTGAAATCGCGTGAAGTATGCCCGACCTTTAATACATCATGAGGGTAAAAAAAAATTCCTTTAAAATATTTGGTTCTTCCTCACGCTTTGTTTGTCAGAGTATTTGACTATACTACTAGCATTTTTTTAGTGAGCGGCAATTCATGATGATACGAGAGTGATTAGTTAATGTATACATGAGTAGATGGGAAGTCAAAAAATGAAAACTGCTATGATAGCTTAAAGCTCCAAAATTTAAACACTGTGATCCAAAAAAATGTGTGAAGAAAGCTGACTCTATAGCTCTTTTATTTATGGAAGAAGAAGACCCAAGGCGAAGTCCCATTTTTCTAAACACGGGCCTCCCCTAGCAGAAGTGAAAGAATATCATAACAAAAAAAAACAGATTATCTGGAGTTTGCTGGTTCTGGGCTCCTATTCGAATATCGAAATATTCTTCTCCTAACTCAATATCACCATGAAGTGGTGTAATTGCACAGCGTATTTTTCGCAAAACTCCTTGTTAAAGAAGCACGTGCTTTGGGAAGTATCGTCGAGTCATTTGTAACTCAATATGCGTAGTGCACACTATACACGCTAACTGACGAACTGTTGAACTAGAACCTGCTCATTTCCAATGATTTCTCCTTGTTTCCTTGTTTCTTTTGTTTTAGTTGGTC